ACAAAAACAAACACTGTCTCCACCCTTCCAGGCCCATTATGGATCAGAAATGAAGCTCCACCTGACTGTAAATCCAAACGCACCCACAGCTGATTTCCTCCACTGTCACCTCCCCAACCAAGCGCTCCTGTGATTACCTCATGACCGGAGCTTACAGAATCTTTTCAGTTTTTCAAAATCAAACCAAGCGCTCCTCTCCCCTCACCTGGTATGTAAGGCCAACACTAAACAAGCGCTCCCTTGATTTACTCAGCTCAGCTTTACAAATCAAACCAACCCCTCCTCTCTTCCTGTCATCCATCACACTCCCTCATGCATTGCGAAACAAGCACTCCCTTCCCCTCCAGAGTCTCCACCCTCCACAACCAACAGCATATGGGCCATCACAAACCAAGTGACTTGATTCCCTCAGCTGGCATGTGGAGCAAACCAAGCGCTCCCTTCGTTATCTCAAGAGCGGGAACTTCACATCCAGAAACATGAGTTATTTGTTTTGTTCTCGCTCTCTTTCTTCCATCAAAGCTGGCACGTGGTTCATCACAAACCAAGCGCTCCCTTGATTACCTGAGAACCCGGTGCTTCCACCTTCATTCTGCAACCAAATCAAACCAACCCCTCTCCCCCGCTGTCTCCCACTCCTACCTCGACTCTCGCCTCAGTTTCCCCTGCATCCACAACCATCGTGTGACATCAAACTAACCCCTCCCGTCTTCCCATTCTAGACTTGTTCCCTCAGCTGACATGTGGTGCAAATGAAGCGCTCCCTTTTGTTTTCTCAATTGGGGGAGCTTCACATCCAGAAGACTCTTATTGTGTCTCCTACTTCCATCCAAGCTGGCACGTGGTCCGCCACAAACCAAGCGCTCCTTTGATTACCTCAGAACCCTGTCCCCCAACTCAAAACAAGCGCTCCCTCTTAAAGTGGAGTCCTTGTTCACCCCCACCCTTCTGATTCTGCAACATGTTTATAGGATGCGACTGTAACAAAATCAAACCAACCTCCACATAGACCATCTCACCTGAGCTGGCATGTGGTGCGTCAGAAATCAAGCGCTCCCCTCATTACCTCAGGACCCAGTGCTTCCCCACGTCCACTTTTATCCTGCAACCAAATCAAACAAACCCCTGCTCTTGTCCCCTCCCTCTACCTCCCACCTCTACCTCCACTCTGTCCACTGATGTATCACAAACCAAGTGCTCCCTTCATTACCTCACTGCTGGAGCTTCCCTCCACACACACACACA